TAAAGGTAATTGAATGAACGCAACGGAGCTAATGTTAATGCGGCTAGCACGTAGAGCTACCAAAGCAAATCTCAAAGCCTCAACGTAAACTCCTGCGACAGATTCTGGGAAATATTTCTTCTCGAATACCAATTAAATACATCGACATACTGATGAGTTTAGTTTGAACAGTACGAACGCGCCGCAATATTACCTTTCTGTGGTATTTTATGTCCCGGCGATGTCAATGTGCGTGATACGAGCTTGTAAGTGCTTCTTCTTCGAGGTTCAACGGCAGCTCGAACCCTTGGTGTTGCATTACTGCCAACTAGTGGCGATATTTAACTCCTACAGTTAACAAGTAGCTACATGTTTCTGTTCTGTGGTGCCTGACAGTGTTCACAAAGTCCAGATGGATGCTTCCTGTTTAGGTTTCTGAGTCCTATTCTTAGTCTGCTCATATTACCTCATGTTTTCTGTCCCACGTCTCTCAATAAACACCAGAGTTCTTATAGTTTTTTTTTTTGTAAAACTCATTACACCTAGATGCAGCACAGAGCGGCACAGGAAGTCATTCCTGCCTGTGGCCATCAAACTCTTTAACCCCCCCACCCCACCAGAGTGTTAAAACTGTGAGTCATTAAACTGATGCTGATAATTTGCAATAAGTCGATTAAGTGCAATACCCGGGTCAATGTGCAATACTGTGGAATATGTTTACATTTATGTTTAGATTTACATTTACTTTGTATATAGAACTTAATATTTTATTATATCTCTTATTATATTTATATTTTCCACTTTTACTATATGTATATACCTATACATTCATTTCTATTCTATATATTGTGTTAAATATATATTGTGATGTGAGTGGAACCACTGTAACAAACAATTTTCCCCCCGGGGATCAATAAAGTAGTAGTAGTAAAAGATGTTTAGTAAATAGGTATTACAACACAAACACACTGACTCACAGTCATGTAGACATCCCAGTTTCAATAAACATATGAACCAACGCCTCCTCGTGCTTGTTGTGTTGGCAAATTTGACCAAATTGAAAATGAAAGACATTGATTTCAGTAAAATGCTTTTTCATTCCTAGTTTTAGATTTTAGTTTAGTTTTATAATAATGTTTAAACACTCTATATTGTATAGTGTTTAACTGCTGCTGCCACTCTTTATTGATTTTCTTCCATGTATTACCATTTCCCTTTGAGTTTGAAAATGTAATTGTGGTGTCTATATTTTCTTTTTTAACAGCTTGTTTGGCTAGATTGTTCACTCTCTCATTGCACATGTGTGACCACAGTGTCTTGTTTAATTACTTGTGAGTGTATATTATCTTATTTCAAATAGTAGGTCTTGTCGTCTATTGGATGCGCTTAGCTTTAGGCTGTACTGACCAGATGCTGAGTCCCGCTACATCAGAGCTCTGTTAGGTTTGGATTATTTTCTGTGAAAATAGAACTCATTCAATCCCTCCCTTAATTCCCTCCCTTTCCCAGCAAGCCTCTTTTTTGTATGGGTGAATCCATGCCCTCTCAAATTCATCCAATAGTTAATCCTCTTTTTTTTATTATTGGAAAAGTTAAACCCCCATTTCTTCCCCAAAATCTAAACTACATTTTTAGCTTGCAAGTTATCACAGTGCAGTGAGGAAACATGTATGGTATGTTTAGGTACACCTCAAAAAACCTTTAGCTCTCAACACTGTTAGATCCCAAGTTACCCCTGTATAGGTGGTACTGGTGCCAGCTTCTCGTTTTAAGGTCCGAGCCTGAAGTATTAACGCCCTATTAGGTTAAAAAAGACTATTTAAGCTGCACGTAGGCCTGTTCAGGTCCTCTCTGCTGCACGCTCTTTTCTGGTGTTTGGCCAGATGTCTTCTCTGCTGCACACCTTTCTAGATCCCAAGTTACCCCTGTATAGGTGGTACTGGACCAGCTCTCTGTTTTAAGGGTCCGAGCCTAGTATTACCCTATTAGGTTTAAAAAAGACTATTTAAGCTGGTGCCGAGGAGACACGCCTAGCTTCAAACTGCCTTTATCCGGACGCCTACCCTGCTCACTCTAGTGCAGCACCTGACTGAATAGCCCTAGAGTAAAATACCACACTAGCCACGTCCTTTCACGACAGCTCTTCTCTTATTGATCTGTGCGCTTGGTAGTTGCTGGGAACATTTTTAGTGGCTTGGACAGTAAGCCCCAAGGGTCTGTTTAATTTATTTGGCTAGAGTAACCTGTTAGAACCTTCAAGATGTTGAACACACTACCTAATAATTATTGCCTGTAGAGATAATATTAATCCAATGTCCACAATTTATTCTTTAACTGCACTTGTTATATTTTATTGCAAGATTTAGCAAGGGCTAGCATACAGCTTGAATTGATTCAAAATTGATTTTTCACTTCCACTGATATTAAAAGAATAATTAAATTTCAAACCCCGGTAAAAAGGCTGTAGCTGAACGGTTGAATGTCCAGTTTGAAGAGAAAGAGAGGGAAGGGGTATACAGCCAATACAGTCCTTCCTTGCCTGCCGTACTGTTGGTTGCTGTTGAAACTCCCAGCTTTGTCCAAAGTCCGAAAAGTCTCTGACCAGTGCAGTCTCTGATGGCAGGGTGGACAAAAGAGTGGTCCTTGGAAATCAATTGGAGACCTGAAGAATGAATCAATCCTGCAACGATAATATATCTTTATAATATAGTAGGCTACAGCCAATGTTCTTGTAGGAGGTCATGTATTGTATCTTTTTTTTTTGGATGGGTTAGACAGAATATTCTGTCAATCTACAAGTATCTGCATATTTCCCATATGGTATTTGCAGCATTTTGTCACAATAGGCCAAGAGTCTAGGGAGGTGCAGTATCCAATTTGTCCACTTGATGGCAATAAAGTAAATAAATTTGTATGACAGATGGCATTAAATGTAATTCAAAGTGTGCTCCTGTTTGTTATGTGGGGCCTTTCTACAAAGGCAGAGAACAGCCCTCAAGGCCTGCCTATAGTAAAAGAAAAAAGCAATCTAATCAGACTGGATTAACAGATGCCCCCTCCCAAATGACTGCCTTTGTTTCTCCTACTGCAGAAGGTCACAGGATCAAATCTTAATTTATTAATTACACTAATTCAAATTCAGCTCCCAAAAACTGGAGCTTAGTATGACTTTCCTAATAAACTTGTATTCCATTAAAGGACAACACGGGTACATATGCAGGTTCTACAGCTAACAGTTCCCAACCTGTACGTGAAATGAAAAGGGAAACCCATATCCAACAATATATCTTGGGACATTTGTCACAAAGTACAGTAATATGGCTCAGAGAGTCTGATAAGCATTTATGATTTTACTCAACACATTTTCTTTCTCATAGTTTTTGAGTTGCCAACCATTAGGTTTTTTTTTGTTTTTGTTTTTTTACAACCCTTCAGTTAGAATTCTAGGAAGGTTAAGAGAGGTCACAGAAAACAGTTCACATTTCCTGAACATACTACCACTACCAGACAGATATTTTCTGTTGCTGACTGAGTATCTATTGTCAAGTACAAATGACTCACTGTTTTGATTTTTTGAAACTTTCTACTTCTTTGAGAGCGTCCTGTTGCTTTATCTCATCTTGAGAGCAGTTCTGGCTTTTCCACAGCATGCTGTCTGCAGCATTTCATCTCCTGCAGTCAAATCATCCTGCACCTAATAAACTACTGCAATGGATGTGGATATTTTCTGGTATTGGCAACATTAATATTGAAGTTAAACAAGCAGGTTTTTCGGTGGTGGCTGTTTTATTTATCGGTAACCAAGGGCCAGAGAAGTGCTTTAACAACCTCATCTTGAAATATATGTGTGAGACCTTTTTTTTTTTTTTTTCATCTCACTCAATATATGCAAAGTTGGTTTACACATTTAGTTAAGGTGCTGAAGAATAACAGCGGTAAATGTTTGGGCATAAGTCAACTCTCATAAATATATACTATGAACATAAATTACTTTTCACTGTGGCAGATATAGAGACAAAAGAGGATGTATAAATCTATTATAAATACAGTTACAGTGGTGGAATGAAACCATATACATTTAACCAGTTTTGAGGTATTTGTACTTTACTTGCATATTTATATTTCATGAAACTCTATAGGTAATTTTTACTCTATTTAGAGTGAAACATTGTTCTTTTTACTCCACTATATGTATTTGACAGCTATAGTTTGCTAATTAAGGTTTACATACCAAACATCAATCAGCTCATAAAACAGGATACATTGTTATAGATTTAATCTAATAGGCTTGTGAAAATGAATCAATGATAATGTAATATATAATATACTTTTTCTTTTTACACTAAGTACATTTTATTGATAATACTGATAGTATATAGTTTTACTTCAGTAACACTTTTTATGCACATTTTTACAGTGGGCTATAGCTGCATTTTCTTATATAAAAGATTAGAGTACTCCATCAGTGCAGTGCCACTCATGCTGCCGACAGACATGTTTCAGTCAGTTTACACAGAACAGCTACTTCTAATTCTGGCTGTTATCCATGATTATAACTGATAACTGAAGGCAAAACGTACATTATTCATTCATTAATTCATTTATTTTATGAAATAACACTGAAAATAGCAATGCCGAATGCAACCGCTTGTACTTATGACAAGACTACAGTTGGTTGCTATGGTACAATCGATCACAGAACCAGAGATTGACTGAAACTACTTCTACATTATACCAATGTTTGTCACATAAGTAATCATTTAGTCGCTATACATAGATAAACTCCTCTAAATCCGTTAAAGCCGACACCGCTGACACCTGCGTGTCCCGCCTTCCCGCAGAATAAAGCTCCACGCTGATTGGCTCTCTCGGTTGTCCCTCCGAAGGATTCCCACACTCCCAACAGCCCATTGGTTCCTGACCTGTCAATCACATGTCACGCTGCAAGCTGATTGGTGCGCCCCTCCTCGTGCTCAACGGGAGGGCGCAGAACGCCAGCCATTCTGTGTGATGAGCTCTCGCTGATTGATGCTGCCGTTTCTACCACATCCCCCGTTGAACCGTCGGCTCCGTCGCACGGCTGTCACGGTTGCTTTAGAGGACCTGTACGGAAAGACTCGTCGGTAAATTCAGTCCACACACACGAGCCTCTCCGTGGCGTGCAGAGGCTCGCGACCAGCTGTGAGCCAGCGACCGCTGCCTCCCGGTTGAACGGCGGCAGGAGGATGGCACTGCGTTGGACGGTCTCTGTGTGTTTGTCCTCGGTGGTCTATTAAGGTTTTAATTAGCTGATAACGTACGTTTGACATTTAGGACGCAGTTGGTTGCGGGAGCGACGACAGACGCACAGCGCTGATTATGGAAAAGGAGTCCAGGTAAGCATTTCGGGGGTTTATTTGTGTATTTGAGGTGTTTATTTTTAAAATTTGAATATCAATGTTATCGCGTGGAGCACGGGCCCAGTGGCTTATTAGTTTCTATGCATTCAACTAACATAGCAACATAGGGCCCTCATAGCCAAACACTGGCTGGTCATTGGTTATTGAAGCGCCGTCAACAGCAGCTTCATCCGTCTGCTCCATTTATCTCAGTGTAAAATTCCGCTGTACAGCATGCCAGCGGAGACACGGCCCATTCATTAGCCTATAAACCATATTTTATTTTATAGCTAAGGCATAGCGTGTTGCTCAGTGTCCGTATTGTCTTTCCTCTCCGCTGTCCCGTCCTCATTTCTTAACGTCGTTACACAATCGCGTTGTGGTGGGAATTCGCGACATTTCGGTGCCGCAAAAGAAGGGGATGATGTGTCATTTTGGCCACAGATGTTGATCCGAGCCGAGCCATGAGTCGACTGCAGAGCACGTAGGCCTGTTCAGGCATCCTCAAGCAGCATCTGTAGGCCGGGATAATGAGCTGTCATGTCCCAACAACACGCTCCATAGGATTACAAGCTCTTCAAGTATGAAACTGCAGGGAGAAAGCACTGTAGGAGTCACTTGGTATCGTTGATGAAGAGCTCTTTTCTTTCTGGAACAACAGTGGGTTGATGTGTGCTCACCTGTGTGTGTGTCTCTATGAGATGTTTGTTGATCTGTCCTTGGTGTACTTTAGCAGAGACAACAGAGCTCCCCAGCTGTCCGTTCAGGAGTCATTTCAATCAGTGGTTTCCAGTGTTGTTTTGGGCCTTCATACAGCTGTTTATCCTTCTATTCAGTGAGGGATTTACAGGTGAATCCTTTTTAAATGTGCTCAAATTGGCTCGTAAGACAGAAAACCTGCACTGCCCTTAACACTGAGGACTAAAAAACAAGGAGGTAAATGACTCTGTATTAAATCTAGGCCAGGCACATGTCATTTTTACCTCCCAAGTGGAATAAAAAGTAGGAAACTGACATAGTTTTTGTTGTATATGATGTTGAAGCAATAAAGATAACACTGACTAGCCACAAAATGGAAGAGCTCCCTATCTTTTTTTAGGAGGGGTGGGGGCTATTGATGGAATTAATTATCTCTCTCTGTTGATTATAATTACGGCTTAAACGCCCCATGACTAAGGACATGTACCACTGAGTAATGGGTTCATCATATCATCATACGAGATGTAATGAGATTACTTTCAGGCTTTTTAGCTGTGAAAAGGCATCTCACACATCTCACCGTCAAGGAAACAGGTATCTGATTCTCACATCCTGGTGACCTTGTTTTAAAGTACTGCTGCCTCAACGAAACTTCTTCTTTATCTGATCCCACGATCACTTGCACACACGCACACACGCACATCATTGCACACTACATCTGTGACGCCCGAGCACACCCCAGCTTATCCCGGCTAACCTTTTCCTCTGCACTCACTGCTGCCGCCGCCACATTATTCCTCTGTGTGTGAGAGAGTGGTAAGCTAATAGGCTTGGGACAGTGTCATCAGGATAAACAGTGTCTGAGTTGCACTCGTGTGTGTGTGTGTGT